TCTGTATGTATTTGCCTGATTACTTATGTGATCCTTATCTCAGGCAGACTTGCTTAACCTTATTTTGTCCGGTTTTCTGTAGGCATACTTCATCCTAAACTATCATACAAGATTAGAAGATATGGTGGGAACAGATTTAAAGATTACAATGCCATTCGATTGATATCAAGAAAGGTTCCTTCTAATAATCAATTTGTGCAGTGTAGTTACACGTACTTTGTACACGAATTAGAAATTGTGTTTATTGCTTGCAGATTCCTAATACAAGGATTTGCCACGCTCTTGGAGAGGGTTTTGGCACCAAATATACTGCATCTGTTGAAAGAAATCATCATCAGTTGAGCTTTGATAATGACTTCACTGAGGAGCCTTTTTGGTTAAGCCAGATGAAGGAAGCTTTCAGGTATTATACTCACAGCCCCATCCCCCAAAAAACACACCCCCAAATAAGAAAAAAAATGCAAATGTGTTTGGATTAAAATTGACACCTTCTTTGGTAGAACAGGAGAATATTATGATCCACCTTGTTAATATCAGTATAGAACCAAAAGAGGTAGCATTCTCATTAAATGACCGAGTGTATCATTTTTTAGGGCTTTGAAATCTTTATTAGGATTTCTAGCGGAGCAGCCCAGTCAACTGAAGTACATAGAGTGGCCAACCTTCCAGAGCACGGTTAGTCTCATTAAATTTTGGTTATACATACCAAGGAAGTTTATTTTTTGTTCTTGGTTTTTGATTTACTTCTGTTTTGTTCAATTACGTTGTAGAAAGTAAGCATTGCATATCAGATTTGAGTTGATCTGATCTTTATTTAGAATCTATTTTAGTTGGAGTTGTTATTGCTTTGCATTTTATGTTCATGGTTCATGCTCTGTTAACTGCTTGCCTGCTGTTTTTGTTGTGACGATTAGCTCTCTCTCACTTAGAATCACTTGAAAGCTTTTCAGTTGTGCACCCTGTGACCAAGCTGACTCTTGCCACTTGATGTATGCTCATGATAAGTTTGATGGAGATTTGCGAAACTGCAAATCTTTGAATGTTAGTGAAAATACTTATTTTGATATTCTAGCTAAAAGTTACATTGATGGGTTAGTTTCAAAATCAATTTAGACATTAAACTGACATTGCTCTCTCCCTTTCTCTCTCCAGCTGAAGACTGCTAGTCTGACTCTTGTGCTTGTGGGTGTGTTAATTATTGCACTATCCTCAGTTGACTCGGCGCTTTGTTATCTATTGGCTTTGCTTTCAAGGAGGACTGCATGATTAAATGATGCTTTAGAAATGAGTTGTTTATAATGCGTGGTCCAGCAGCCCAAAGCTAGTAGATGGTGTTCACATCATGTTTCCTCGTGCAGAATGATAAGAATGAAGCAGAGTCCCCGAGCAAGAAAGCTATTGGATTTACTTATTAGCACATAGCATAGGTATCAAAGTGATGGGAGCATTACTGCTAGTAGCGTTTGATAGTCCAATGCTCAATAAAAATTGCTGCTCGTGTTTGTACCAGGTGTACTCAGTTGAGAGGTATGTCGAATCAATTCTGGAATTTTTGGAAGTGCTCAATCCAATCTCCCTTTTGGTTGTGACTAATTGTAAAGCTTGATTAGCTAAGAGTGAGCACTGCCTAACACAAGCATTCATACACAAGCCCCAAGGCCCGACCATAGTCGCCTAGAGCTCAAAAAAATTTAAAACCTCAATGTAACTTTNACTAATTGTAAAGCTTGATTAGCTAAGAGTGAGCACTGCCTAACACAAGCATTCATACACAAGCCCTAAGGCCCGACCATAGTCGCCTAGAGCTCAAAAAAATTTAAAACCTCAATGTAACTTTGGGATTTTTGCACCGTTCATCAATTTTTAACAAAATTTTAGATAAATATTAGTCCGAAGGTCACATTGGAACTAATTTATGACATTAAGGTGCAAAGTGGAAAAAATAATCTTTTGGGGGTGTAAAGTGAGAATTGAGAAAACTTTTGAGTACAAAAATTCTAGTGCTTTTGATTCTTAAAGTGTGTGTTTTTGGTTAGTTTAGTCTTTAGTGTATCAATTTTGTTCATAAAATATTCAATTTGTGTTATTTTGATTCCTAATCAGATAATCCTTCAAGTTTTTTTATAGAAGTGATCACGTGTCATTTTTTTAGACGATGNAGGGTGTAAAGTGAGAATTGAGACATCTTTTGAGTACAAAAATTCTAGTGCTTTTGATTCTTAAAGTGTGTTTTTGGTTAGTTTAGTCTTTAGTGTATCAATTTTGTCAATTTTGTTCCTAAAATATTCAATTTGTGTCATTTTGATTCCTAATCAGATAATCCTTCAAGTTTTTTTATAGAAGTGATCACGTGTCATTTTTTTAGACGATGTCACATGATTATTTTGTCAAAAATTTAACGGTTTGTTTATATAGGGATTAAAATGATACAAATTAAATATTTTAGGGATTAAATTGATACAATGAGGATTAAACTAATAAAAAATATATATTTTAAGGACAAAAAGTACTATTAAACCTTCCTTTAATTTTCAACNGATACAAATTAAATATTTTAGGGATTAAATTGATACAATGAGGATTAAACTAACAAAAAATATATATTTTAAGGACAAAAAGTACTATTAAACCTTCCTTTAATTTTCAACNCTTTTCTTATAACTCTCATCTTAGGTTACGTAGCTCAAAGAAGTTTAGTTTAGTTGGACCATTTAGGTACTTCAGTCAATCCTGTTAAATAGGCTAAATTAGGGTAGTGAACCACATTAAAGCTTAGCCAAGCACAAAAGCTATCCATGAGAATTGGACGACGAGTTATGCTGAACATGATTTGAACTATATTGACAACCAACCAAATTTGAACAGGCCATTAATCTTCTCAACTTATTGTGATCCTACTTCTAATTAGTGGATACGAAAGCATNACCTTTAGTTTAGTTTCATGTTCTGAGGGATTTTTGAATTGGCTTAAATCAAAAAATACAATGTATTTCACAAGTCAATGTAAAATTTAAAGAAAGTCCTAAAATTTAATAACAGTTTTACAAATNTTTTTCTTATAACTCTCATCTTAGGTTACGTAGCTCAAAGAAGTTTGGTTTAGTTGGACCATTTAGGTACTTCAGTCAATCCTGTTAAATAGGCTAAATTAGGGTAGTGAACCACATTAAAGCTTAGTCAAGCACAAAAGCTATCCATGAGAATTGGATGACGAGTTATGCTGAACATGATTTGAACTATATTGACAACCAACCAAATTTGAACAGTCCATTAATCTTCTCAACTTATTGTGATCCTACTTCTAATTAGTGGATACGAAAGCATNATCTATTTAAATTTTTTTAGAAAATCTTAAAATATAACAAAATTTTCTAAAAAACCTAAAAATAACGACTTTTAACATTAAAAGTAACAATCTCTCTCGATTATGATTTTTTTTTTTTTTTTTANGTCTATTTAAATTTTTTTAGAAAATCTTAAAATATAACAAAATTTTTTAAAAAACCTAAAAATAACGACTTTTAACATTAAAAGTAACAATCTCTCTCGATTATAATTTTTTTTTTTTTTACGTTCTCTCATTAATTATTATATTTTGTTTATATTACATCCTCAGTAATGTAATTAATTGAACATTATCCTAATTCTTAATATTCTTTATAAATCTGATGAAATTTTGTTTCATTTCCTCCTTTACCTATATGATTCTGTGTCACTTTGTCCATACATGTTAATAATTTTCGTCCAAAAAAATAGTAAACATTTGTGTTTGCAATAATGTAAAATAATTTAATTAGCTAAGTGGTTAATGTGAAAATTTTAATAGATCAAGAGATGAAGTAAAATAATTAAGGGTGCCCAAGTATAATTTAGTTTATAAACAATGTATAGTTCTTTGAATGAATGAAGCAATTTTTATTTTTTTTAACAGGTGTGTTTAGACCAATTTACACGTACTTCGATAATTTTATTTTCAATCCGGTCAAAGGTAGATCATCTACATTAGGATTAGAATTTTCATGAGAAATAAATTTCTCATGACATAGCCCTAAAAATTTATAAAAATTCAAACTCAAAACATCTATATTTNTGCCCAAGTATAATTTAGTTTATAAACAATGTATAGTTCTTTGAATGAACGAAGCAATTTTTTTTTTTTTTTAACAGGTGTGTTTAGACCAATTTACACGTACTTCGATAATTTTATTTTCAATCCGATCAAAGGTAGATCATCTACATTAGGATTAGAATTTTTACGAGAAATAAATTTCTCATGACATAGCCCTAAAAATTTATAAAAATTCAAACTCAAAACATCTATATTTATAGAAAAAAAAATAACTTTTAAGGACGCGTTCGTTTAATATGTTAGTGGTCTAGTACAAATCAACCTTCATTTATTTATTAGTGAATTACCCTTAAGATATCCACACCTAAATCATGATTTTTTTTAATTTTCTTTATTTATTAGAGATTTTTTTTTTTGAATTTTGAAATAGCAACATTTCTTCTAAAAACCACTTATCATTCGTATTTGAACAATCGTATTTGAACAATGTTGCATGGACTTAAAAATATTAATAAAATGTAGGCTTTATGACGAGGCAAAGAAGAATGATCTCCATTCCTTTAACAAGCATACACAATGATGTAAGCATCCCCAAGAATAGGTCACAAAATGTTTAATAAACATATTTCAATTTGCAGTGCAAGTTCATTCACAAAACAATATGGTTGCCCCTGATTTCTTGGATAATATCCAACTACTTTAGAACAATTGCTGCATTTCTCAGAGCCAGGTACCTCTGAACATACTCATTCGGAAGTGATCTTATCAGCTTGAAGACATCAGCATTCGCGAAACGCATATTGGTCCTTGGATCAAAGTAAGGTGCCTGCATGTGAAACACAAAAAAATTGATGGAAGCTTTAGAAAAACCACAAGAAAAATGTATCATCCAAATTTAATAAGCAACGTACAACAAAAATGTATCATCCTCAACTGGGCAAGCTTCAGCTGAAGCATAATTTATATTTCTGAATCGTACAAATTTAAGCAACGTGATTGATGTTGTCTGCAAGAGCTCCTCAGCAGTAGGATGCCCAAAGCCTCAAGGGTATCCCTTACTCGTGCATTAGGTGGTTTTGTTATTCTAATTCTAGATGATACTTTCTACAAACTAAGTCATATTCGCTCCCTTAACTTTGATCCAAAAATGAAGACCATTCATCAAGTAGCTTCATAAATGCTATAGCACACCAGTCATAATGAAGAACTTACAATTTTTTTTCTTATAACTCTCATCTTAGGTTACGTAGCTCAAAGAAGTTTAGTTTAGTTGGACCATTTAGGTACTTCAGTCAATCCTGTTAAATAGGCTAAATTAGGGTAGTGAACCACATTAAAGCTTAGCCAAGCACAAAAGCTATCCATGAGAATTGGATGACGAGTTATGCTGAACATGATTTGAACTATATTGACAACCAACCAAATTTGAACAGGCCATTAATCTTCTCAACTTATTGTGATCCTACTTCTAATTAGTGGATACGAAAGCATGCAGAAACGATAGGCTTTTTCAGGTGCTATTTAAAACCATGTGATAGGATTGTCATAGTTGACATCTAGCGCTTGTCAGTGATGCCATAGAAGCTCCACAAGTGGAAATTTGAAAGCAACTGCGATAATCAACAATGTCAAAGAGCTATATACCTCATATCCTGTTATATCACAAATTCTTTTGCATGGATGCATAGAGGGTGGTGTCTCAATATTAACATCTGCAAAACAATATCAAAGGTGGGGAAATTTGATCAAATAGAGAGCTAGACATTAAGCTCTCAAATGAATCGAGACACAAAAGGCTCAACGTGGAATATAAATATGTCGGTGTAAGCTAGACAAAGGCTATTTAGCAAACCACAATACGTTAATGATGAATTGACACCCATAATGCTTTATTTTTGGCAGCTGCAAAATCATGGTATTGCTTCCATAATGGACAGACTAAACCCCAAACACATACATAGATGCCACTGATGCAATTACAATCCACCAATTTGTCCTGCAATTTAATACCTTACAAATTGCTCCACAAAGCAGGGTTAATGATCATGGATATTTATTGGAAATTTTTGTAGGCTAATCCACTAAGTTATAAGACTTCTCTATCAGACATACACGATCAATAATATGATCTCATTCATCAATTTCACAGTGAATAAAGCAAAGAAAGGATGGAAATTTATATAAATATCGTTCTCAAAATTCAGACCCTGAATTGACTCCACCAAAATTTCATATTTAGCAATTAATTATGCAAAAATATACCACAAGCATCATCTAATATCCACATACATATAATATGATTCCTAACATGAGCTTTATGGAAAACACAATGTTAGTAATTCGAAGTCTCACAGTTGGGTTCTTCAGGGGGGTAGTTGTGGTAATTTTCGGCTTGGATGATCTGCTTGAGATGTTTCCAGTACCTGCCTCTGGCTTGGCCCTTTGGGTACTTGTCATACATCTGAATCTTCTTATAGCTCAAGTGGTTCGGCAACACTATCTCTGCTTCCACCACCTCTGCTTCCATCTACAAAAACAAAAAATTAAGCTCCAATTAATTTCCTTCAGATTCTTAAATCTGTTTCCCAATACATCGTTTACATGGAATGATTCATATGTATATCAGCATGGACAATTGAAAAGGCTTTCACAGAGAAAACATTCGAAACTATAATGCTTACATTCTGAGAGAGAGACAGACAGACAGAGAAAGAGAACGAGCGAGCTGTACGAAGGAGAAAGAAAGCAGCGAGAGAGGGAGAAAAGGGAGAACTGAATACGGCGCCGTATGGCGAAATATTATTTTCTAGGGGATATACGAATGCTTGTGTAACCAACCAAACACGCACTTGTAATACAAGCTGGGACCACGCAAAGGGCAAATACGTCATTTCATCATACAACATCGGCAAAGTGGATTTCCACGACGTCGTTTTATTCGAAACCCAAAAATTGTTTTCTAGTTCTTCTTGGTTCTATTTGGTATATGAAATGATTAATCAGTCCCCTTCTTCGGTTCCCTCCTCGGCTTCAACCGAGTGAATTTAACCAACCAGCCTCTACTCTCTCTCTCTCTATACGAAAACACTATACCTATTCCTTGCGAAGTATTGGAACTTTGGAACCCTACCTCCAATTTGTAAGTCACTCAAGTATTATTCAGATTTTGTTTAATTACTTTCAACAATTTATCTTTGAAGATTAAAATACGGTTTGATTGTTCTAAGTTTCCAGATCAAGCCACTTGCGTCATTATCTTTCTGATATGTATCGTGACTATTAGCTCCATTCCAAGAAACACTGAAATTTTGTAGATCTCGTGTTCAAATAAATCACCTTCAATTGGTTCTAACGATGAGAAGCTTAAGACATTGACTATGGATAATGATTTTCAACGGTCCGTGTCCTTAAGGGCAAGCCGCAAAACGGACCGTAATCATCATCATCATCATCAAAATAAAGGTAAATCAGATTTGTATATAATGCTACATATCAGTTTGTTTTTAATGTATTGTACTCTTTTTGTGTTAGAATGTATATGTACATGTATAAAGGGGTAGATCTTTAGTGACGCAGAGAATGGTGTGAAATTAATTACTGGTAATTTTCTGATGCAGATGCTGAAGGTAGTTTCTTTTATTCAGGGAGGTTTTCGCTGGATTACCCTATGAAAATTATATGGAAGAGGGGATTTATTCGTTTAGTTCTTGTGGCGGGAATTATTTGGATGTTACTCATTCTCACTGTATTAATGTTCCACGTTTGGTCTTGCCAATCTTCACTAGCTTTCTTTTCAGGTATTCTAGGAATAGATCTGTTGTTACCGGTGTTCTTTTTTGTTTTTGGCTTGTTGGCAATTCATTCAATGGATGTTTTAGTGTAAGCTGTATTCATATTCCATCTGCAAACATTTGCAGGGTACCTTCCATAAGAATGATGGTTATTGTATATAGTTCTGGTGCTTGTCCTCTTTTATTGAATGATGTTCAAATTACTTATTGAAGAAAGGGAAGAAAAAAATAGTCTTAGAAAAATAATGGCCGATACGTTCTTTGTATTGATATAACATAATTAAATTGGATATATGGGTGTCCATTAGAAGATCCCAGGTACTTGTCTTTACCTATTGGCGTTCTCTGCTATGGCACCTCCTATCTTGACATATTTGTATTGACTAGCTCGTTAAATTGCGCATAAATTTTGGGAAATGGGTGGTAGTTACAAAACTCTGAAATAGTACCAGGAATGAAATAGATAAGGGAGAAGACAATAGATACAAAGATAAGTATTGGTAGTTTTTTGACTAACTAGGAATTACATGATTGCAAATAATTTTCTTGATTTTGAACCAACAGGATTTACACTAAATGGTTATTCTATAATTTTACCTCAACATTCACATATTTTTCTGTTTCTACAGTTGGAAATAATCGTGGCTTTGTTTGATGTGCAGCTCTTTGTAACAAAGACAGCAAGATATTTGGCATGTTAAACACAATGGGACTTGTAAAACCACCACACCGTAAGACTATTACAGTTTCTTGTCTTAATGTCTTCCTATCAATTTTCACGTGGTAAGTTGTTAACATTCTTGCTACATGCAAATTAGGCTGTACTATCCCTGTTGCTAATAGCCCAGATAATATAGTTATTCCAAAGAGGAAATCTCCTGAAATTTTTGTAAAAAGCCTGTCCTATATTATGGAGGATGATCTGCCAAATAATGGATCACAATCAACTCTGCTATTTGGAGGGCATCAAAGCTGGCAGCAAAGGGAGGAGAGTTTCAAACTGAAATCAACCATGAAGGTGAATGGTCATTCTATTGACAATTCCTTGGTCAATTTGCATATCGTTTGTTCAATTAAATAGTCTGCCTAAAAAAGAATGTTGCAAGTGAATATATGCATGTTATTAATCAGGGTGTCTTTTTGAGTTTCTGTGTGCCCTCACTTTTCGGGAATTCCTTTGTTCTTAATTAGGATGGATTGGGAAGCCGTTTGTGGATTGTAATTTTTTTATTACTTGTGCTTATGGTTATTGTACTTTTTTATTTGTGAAGGACTTCTCATCCATCATGTAAGTTTTTTCATTATTAATGAAAAGCTTTTGTTGATTACCAAAAAAAGTGAATATATGCATGATCCTCCAATGAAGAAAGGTTCTGCTTTCGGGGGTGTTTAGGTTGTGTTTAAAGTTCTACCTGAACTTTAGTTATTCTTTGCAGAGGCATCTCCATCTCAATTGCACATAGTAGTAAATATTTTGCAGAAGGTGTACAATTTATAAATTTGTACTTCTTGTTAACCAACATCTATGCTACTCAAAATGTAGTTGTGAGGATTTGTTGTGTATGTCATACAAGGCTGGTTTGGTTAAAATATCTATAGTACTATTTAGGGACGAAGTTAGGAAAAAGTTTTTGGATGGGGCACAATAGCGCGTTTTAATTTTTTATTTCAATTGACCGTAGAAATTCAGAAATTCATTAATCCTTAAAAGTTCATTAAACATAAAAAGTTAAAATTCGATATACATAGCATGAACAAATAAAAAAATAATTAAAACCTCTTATCAAGAATGAGACAAATTATTGTCACTTAAAATTGATCTTGATATGTTTTTATCATTTGAAAGGTTTCAAATCAATCTTATCAACAAATATTTTTTATATTTATATAATTGGGGTAATAATCTTCTATTTATGATCCTCTAATTTACTTACATAATTACACTGATTTTTATATAATAATAAAATAATCCTACAATTTAAAAAAAAATACAAAATAACCCCAATATGTTCAAAACTTATTTGGACATGTCTAAAATGTGTCTAAAAATTAAAAAAAAAAAATCTAGTTGTACCCAATTTGAGATTTAATTGGCAGAGATCCAATGGTTTGTAACCATTGAATGAATAGTGGAGTTTATTAAATATTGAAACTCACTATTAGACTTAATATCACAATGCATTAGGTTCTTAGTTAGTCTCAATAATATTGTTTGAAATTTAATAATCATTTAGGTAAGGGTCTATCTAAATCGATATCACCAAAACACAATAATGCAATGGGCTCAATTAAATGTCTAAATTTTATTTCAAAAAATACATATCTAATATAAACAAAAAAAAATTGAGGGTGGCACCCAGGGTGGCTCCGCCCCTAGTACTATTGCAACAAGTCCAAAAAGGTGTGGTTTACATATGTATATTGGTCTATTAGAAGTCCAAAAGTATTTTTATATGGGACCTTGGTAGGAGTTTGTTTCTTCAGAAACATATATAGTGACAAGTGTTTTAAGGAATACCAGGAAATTGCTGTTGTATAGGTGTTAGAGAATTGATTAAAGGCTTTGACTTGAGAAGGAAAATTCTGTTGAGTGATGATTATTCCTCTTACCTTATTTCCTGTATTGTGATCAGATGTTTATGTTTTTTATCTTCAGGTGCACTGTGGTTTTATGCACAAAGGTGGTGCAGATATGGATCCCCAAGACATCAAATACGCCAAAAAGTGTAGGTTTGTGGTTGCATCTGGAATCTTTGATGGATACGATACACCTCACCAGCCATCAAATATAAGCCAACGTTCTCAAGAACTCTTCTGTTTTCTTATGGTGGTGGATGAAATATCTCTTGACTTCATCAAGAAAAATGTTACTGTCAGAGAGGACAAGGATGGTGGACAATGGGTGGGTATCTGGCGTCTTGTTCTGCTCAGGCATCAACCTTATGATGAACCCAGAAGGAATGGGAAGGTTCCCAAGATATTAACCCACAGATTGTTTCCTCAAGCACAGTACAGTATCTGGATTGATGGTAAAATGGAGCTACTGGTTGATCCATTGCTTATTCTCGAAAGGTATGGTCTTCTGAACTGATTTTTGTCAAGAACTGTATTCTCAATTTTTATTGTTCTGTTGTGATGAAAACATTATTTGGATTGATGGCATGAAGAGTGAAATATTGGTAGCAATCATTTAGGAGCACAATTATGGTACTGTAGTGGATAAGGGGCAGGGTTTTGCCTGTAAATTTTGGATGTGATTTTCCAGTGTCTATTATGCTGTTGAGAAGTGCGGTAGTATTTTACTTAAGATGATCTGCTCAGGATGAACATTTAAATAGAGCAGCTTTTTGATTAAAATCCAACAGACTAAACCTGTCATATGCAGTACATGTAACCTCACACAATACAGAAGTCATTTAAATGGGTTTCTATTGACAGGCGGATGGATTTCCAATTAAGATTCATTCATTGGCTCATGATTGTTACCTTGTTCAAGCAGCATGTGTGCATGTCCTTTGGATGAGAATGAACTCAACAACATGGCCTGTCTTGCAGATACTTGTGGCGTGGGAAACACACTTTTGCCATTGCTCAGCACAAGCATCATCGCAGTATATTTGAAGAGGCGGATGCAAATAAACGAAGGAAGCGATATGCTCGACCTCTAATTGATCTCCACATGAAAATATACCGTTACGAGGGAATGGAGCCTTGGAGTCCCATGAAAAAAACCGTTAGTGGTAAGGAACTTCATAAAAGTATAGTCACTGTTATTCTTCTTTTCTTATGATTCCCCTTTTAATTTCAGCAATCCAAGTGTTGTACTGTATGCTATTGACAGAGTTTGTGTAAATGCAGATGTGCCAGAAGGGGCAATTATCATACGTGAACATACTGCACTAAATAATTTGTTCAGTTGCTTGTGGTCCAACGAGGTTCACCTCTTTACACCAAGAGATCAGCTGAGCTTTGGCTATGTTGTATACAGGTTAGGGGGTCTGTTCAAATTCTTTATGTTTCCAAACTGTGAGTACAACTCACTTTTTGTGTTGCACCCACACACTCGCGAGCATTCCTCCAAAGTAGAATGGGTGAAATCTTTGGATGAGTTCAACAAGAAAAATAATGGTTTGAAAGAGAGTAGAGGAGGACTAGGCTTGTGGACTCCTTATCCTGGGAACCTTGATCTGGTTGTACTACCACCTGTAGCAAGAACATCAAAAGCAGGATGAGTTTGATTTTCACTCCCACTTCTGTCAATTGTGGAATATTCAGAGTTTCTTATGAAGTTCTTTTATTCTTTATTCCTTGTTCATTGGGAAGATCATTTAAGCCCTGCCAGAGGTCGTCGTGCATTATTTGGTATAGGAAAGCAGAGGTGGGTTTTGATTGAATGCAGTTTATGCTCTTCCTCACCCTCACCCTCACCCTCACCCTCACCCACACCCACCAACCAAACATGTAAATCTATAATTCTCAAAAACCAAGATCAATGCAGACTTTTGTGCCAACAATGATGAAATACACACAAAAAAGATCTGGGTGTTCTTTTCTTGTTCACTGGCTGACATCAAGTGTTCCAGTCAACACTTGAAGATGGTTTTCTTTTTCTTTTTTCAGAATTAAGGTATGTGATCATGTAAGAACACATGCTCACTGAAAACGACATGGCTATAATAATCTGGCATGCATATAATAAGGGGTTGAGCCATAGTATCGAAAATAATCTCATAATTTAGCAGATATTCATGTTGCACAACATAGACACCAAAATTATAGTCACTCGATTAATTTATTGGGGCCAATTCCACAAAGTTGGTAACAATAGCATAAGTTGTTCGAGATGATTTCCAAAATTGCTCATGTCAAATTTGCTTCTTTCCTCAATCGCTGAAAGGGCAAAATTAGAAAAGTAATAGCAATAACATTTTATTTTGAAAACATATAGACCCTTTAGGATCTGAATTGCCATATCTATCAAGGACCCTAGTAAGTCCAGACTCCAGAGCATTTTCATACATAAAAAATACAGAACACGGCATGAAAAATTATACTATCTCGTCCGACCAATTAGGTATCCCCAAAATCATATTTTTTTTCACCCAGAAAATCATAGTACATGACAAAGAAAATGACATAGTATGCATTATTTAAGATAAGGGCAACACAAAATAAAAAAAAACCAAATAATAATAATAATAATAATAATAACAACTGGATAACACAAACACAAACAGAATTACAAAAAAATACAATATCTAACTGGTTCCCACTAGAAGAATAGAATACTGATGTCTTTCTAAATGCCGGACAGCTTTGGCTTCTGAGGGACTCACTAAGTACACAACCTTTATTATTTGAGCTGGACAAACTCAAGTCAAAACGATCAAACAGGAGACGTGGGTACACGGAGATTGTTTCCCGCCTCAATTATTTGCATCGCGACTGTAGTACAGATCAAGAGTCTTTGCTGGAATCCGATGGAGAAGCTCGCGAGGGAATATGCGGAGCAATGTCCATGCCAAATCAAGTGATTGGAAAATGTTGCGGGTGTCATAGGCTCCTTGGGCGACAAACTTCCTCTCGAATTTGTCCAAAAACTCCAAATATAGCTGTTTTTTCAGGAGGAAGTCTGTTAGTCATCTCAATACATAATTTACTGATGACTAAAACAAAACACCAATTGTACAAAAGTAGTAGACGCAGACCAGGTCCTCCGAAGAGAGCGCTTCTTCTCCAACCACAGCTTTCATTGCCTGGACATCCTTTCCAATTGCATAATTTGCATATAACTGTAGAGGAAAATTATACAAATGAAAATTGCTCAAGTCAAATAAGAAAGTTTAGGGTAATTACATTATTAAAATGACACGTCTAGTTTTGGAAATTACACAGATACCCCCTATCAGATTCTGACTCCATGAAAGTAACATAATGCGTGTTTTCATGTTTATCCTAAAGCTTCCAAACGGTCCTGCACCAAACACCTCTTATACCCCCTCTCTCTCTCTCTCCCTCCGGGGGGCTATCCTAATACCTTAATACCTTATTGAAGTAGCTTAGGGCTGTAGAGAACAAAACTCCTACCCTCCCCCCCCCCCCCCCCCCCCCCCCCCCCCCCCGCCCCCCCACCCCCCCCCCCCCCCCCCCCCCCCCCCCCCCCCCCCCCCCCCCCCCCCCCCCCCCCCCCCCCCCCCCCCCCCCCCCCCCCCCCCCCCCCCCCCCCCCCCCCCCCCCCCCCCCCCCCCCCCCCCCCCCCCCCCCCCCCCCCCCCCCCCCCCCCCCCCCCCCCCCCCCCCCCCCCCCCCCCCCCCCCCCCCCCCCCCCCCCCCCCCCCCCCCCCCCCCCCCCCCCCCCCCCCCCCCCCCCCCCCCCCCCCCCCCCCCCCCCCCCCCCCCCCCCCCCCCCCCCCCCCCCCCCCCCCCCCCCCCCCCCCCCCCCCCCCCCCCCCCCCCCCCCCCCCCCCCCCCCCCCCCCCCCCCCCCCCCCCCCCCCCCCCCCCCCCCCCCCCCCCCCCCCCCCCCCCCCCCCCCCCCCCCCCCCCCCCCCCCCCCCCCCCCCCCCCCCCCCCCCCCCCCCCCCCCCCCCCCCCCCCCCCCCCCCCCCCCCCCCCCCCCCCCCCCCCCCCCCCCCCCCCCCCCCCCCCCCCCCCCCCCCCCCCCCCCCCCCCCCCCCCCCCCCCCCCCCCCCCCCCCCCCCNCTCCCCCCCCCCCCCCCCCCCCCTCTTCTCCTGGAGCAGGTCCCACCTCACCCCTTCCACCCTGCCACCCCTGCATCTGACACCCACACGTCTGCCCTCCCCGCCTCCTGCCACCTCACCTCATCCACCCCTCCTGATTTTTAAATCTTTTCTCTTAGATAATCTAGTGCCCTTATGTATGAAGATAAGAAATTCGGTCGTTGTGGTCGGAATGGATTTCTGACCACATTCTCCATAGGGTCCTCTTATCTCTTCCTTCTCTGAGCTCAGATTATGGAAGAAGGAACCAAGAAGAAGGTATCAGCAACAATCTGATCTCTATCGCTTTTACACATACTTGTGTTTTATATGTAAAATTACCGATGAATTTCATAAATTGGGTTTGAGAGGGTTGAATTGGATTTGAATTGGTCTAAGAGAAAGAAAATGTAATGTCCTAGGCCAGGCTGAACAGGGCTGGCATGAGCCCCTGGACCATGACCAAGGTCACACCAAAGTGCAGTGTAATTTCAAAAACTACTAGGGGTCTCATTGTAATTTAACCCAATTTTTTGCAGACAAGAAAAAGAGAGAGCGGTGGGCTTGCTTGATCTAATTTTGCACCACTCTAGTTAGCCAAACCAACCTGATTGGACACATCAGCATGATCCCTGCGAGTCATCCCCTCACCAATGGCACTCTGCAACAATTAGATGGTGAAGTTAAATGTAAGCCCCCAGGATCATACTTTAGCTTTATGCTAGATTACAAGTAAACAGAATATTGTGTGCAGTAAAATTAAGCAAAGCCTTCAATTTACCTTCATTAAACGAGACAAGGATGGAAGAACGTTAATAGGTGGGTATATCTGTTCAAATAAAAAACAATAATTTTCAGTTTCAGATCCATCAAGGAGGGGAAAAAAGTTCCAGATGTTGATAAGCTACCCACAATCAATTTCTCATTTCTGAGCTTAATACAAGTTACACATTCAATTATAGAGATCAGAAACCCAACTTTGGTAATGCATCCATGAATATATGTTACAAATCTGAAGTTATCTATCTCCAAACTAATATGCACTATGTTATTTACGGACTTATTTAGTCCAAACTTTATCAATCAGCCAAGCACAAGACCTGAATTTTGCCACCAACTCACACCTTAACAAATGATACAAACGTTACATTACTTGCAATGTATAATGTTATGAAGATTACAAAAAGGTGTAGTTCTTATTGCTGATTCCAAGCTATGAAGCAGTGTGTCGACCTTCATTAATTATAGCACAGCATGGCACCTGGTAAGTAACTTTAAAATAAAGTAGCTTCACAACTTACCTGACGATTATAAAGTAGTCTGTCAATATATATCTGTCCCTCAGTAATATAACCCGTAAGATCTGGAGTAGGATGTGTGATGTCTGATCAAATACCACACACGATCAGGTAAATTCCAAATTTCAAATACCAAAGCGAAGAAGGATTAAAATCCAGACACTTAATGCAGTTTCACAATACTACATTACCATCATTCGGCATAGTCAAAATTGGAATTTGTGTAATGGAACCCTTGCGTCCTTCAATTCGCCCAGCACGCTCATATATTGTTGCCAGATCAGTATACATGTACCCAGGATACCCACGCCTTCCAGGCACTTCCTCACGGGCGGCAGATACCTGTGGTACCAAGCAATGCTTTATCTCACAGCAATAGCCCACTGGAGAAAATCTTAACGAATATCTCACTTAATATATTTGAAATCACTGCTAAGAAATAATTCGGGTATAATAGGCTTATAGGAAAGCTCGTATCATTAAGCCAAGTTTTTAAAGACGACAAAACCCTAAGAAGATAATACAGGATATCTGATATAATTTATTAGATTGGCAATGCAACTATTTTATGAAATGGACAGTGCAGAGAACACTTATGCATAATTACCTCACGAAGAGCATCAGCATAGGAACTCATATCTGTTAATATGACAAGAACATGCTTCCCACACTCATATGCCAAATATTCAGCAGTAGTTAGAGCAATCCGAGGAGTAATAATACGTTCTATTGTAGGGTCATTGGCCTGTACAAAAAGCATATAAGAAACGGATTTTATACAACTGAACATAATCAGACATCACTTTGTAGAAGCAAACCCCATAGATTCAGGATTAATTTACCAAGTTTAGAAAAAGGGTCACCCTCTCCATTGATCCATTTTCCTCAAAATCACGTTTGAAAAACTGTGCTGTCTCCATGTTGACTCCCATAGCTGCAAACACAATGGCAAAATTGTCCTCTTCTCCATCCTGTGAAGAAAAAGTAGATAATGAGAATAAGCTAGCTGCAGTCAATCATCAACAGGGAAGCAAGGAAATTAAAGAAATTAGAGGGCCAAATGACCACCTAACTAGAAGCAGAAGCGGAACAAACAGGAGCAAGGAGCAAGTAGAGGAGGAGAAAATGAAGACGAAGAAGAAGAATACTGGAAAGCAAGGAAATTAAAGAAATTAGAAGGCCAAATGACCACCTAACTAGAGAAGAAGATTATTTACCCAAAAAACAATAGCAGAAGAAGAAGACAGGAGGAGAGGAAAATGAAGAAGAAGAAAATGAAGGCCATCTCAACCAATCTAGAATTATTTGTTACACAACGGCAATAAATGATGCATGAAGCAGAGATCTAATGATAGGACAGAACCTCATCAAAATAAGCATTGAGCAATGGTTTTCCAGCTCTCAGCTATTCGTCGTGTCAAGAATAGTCATATCCCAAAAGTACCTGAAGGAGATTTCCCGTATTCTCCAACCGCTTTACCAAACCAGCCTGACGGCATATCTGGGCAGCTATTTCATTATGGGTAAGACCGGCGGCAGAAAAAAGAGGAATTTTCTGCCCTCTAGCAATTGAATTCATAACATCAATTGTTGAAATTCCGGTCTGTATCATCTCTTCAGGATAGGTTCTCTCACTAGGATTGATAGAACTCCCTACAGTAGAGAAGTGAACAGTTGAATGATGTTTGAGCAGATCACACAGATTTGTATGATTTTGCAATATTTAAAACCCATTGGCTTCTTACAAACACTCACCAGAAATATCCAAGTAAGCCTCAGGCAAAATAGGTGGGCCATTGTCAATGGGCTTCCCAGAACCATTGAATATGCGACCAAGCATATCCAACGACACAGGAGTTTTCAAAACCTGTAAACAAGTTGTAATTGAAATACTTAGAAGGGTAATCTGATGAAAAGTGCCATTGAAAGAAAAGAAGAATCTGTGAATTGCAATAAGAGAGCAGAGACTGATTCTTAAGAGCAAGTACAGGCTTGACTTCCAGTGAAAAGCCATGAGCAAAATAAGCCTTTACTCCTCACAACAAATTTGTAAATCACGCATATCACATATAACTGGCATGGAAGTCCACTAGTTAAATATACACTTGGTCACAATCATGATTATTCAATTGACATGTGGTACAAGAAAGTTGCAGGTTTCTGCTGGTATATGCAGAAGCAGGGTCTATAGATTCCTCGCATAGGCAATTGAAACAAGATATTGCACTGTCATCAGTGAAATGCGTTTATCAACATCACACCTTTCAAAAGAAACTAATACTGAAGAACCCAATCACAGCTTGTAAGCCTTATTGTTGGAGTCAAATTTTCCATGTGCCAGACCAAATTCANTACAAAAAAATACAATATCTAACTGGTTCCCACTAGAAGAATAGAATACTGATGTCTTTCTAAATGCCGGACAGCTTTGGCTTCTGAGGGACTCACTAAGTACACAACCTTTATTATTTGAGCTGGACAAACTCAAGTCAAAACGATCAAACAGGAGACGTGGGTACACGGAGATTGTTTCCCGCCTCAATTATTTGCATCGCGACTGTAGTACAGATCAAGAGTCTTTGCTGGAATCCGATGGAGAAGCTCGCGAGGGAATATGCGGAGCAATGTCCATGCCAAATCAAGTGATTGGAAAATGTTGCGGGTGTCATAGGCTCCTTGGGCGACAAACTTCCTCTCGAATTTGTCCAAAAACTCCAAATATAGCTGTTTTTTCAGGAGGAAGTCTGTTAGTCATCTCAATACATAATTTACTGATGACTAAAACAAAACACCAATTGTACAAAAGTAGTAGACGCAGACCAGGTCCTCCGAAGAGAGCGCTTCTTCTCCAACCACAGCTTTCATTGCCTGGACATCCTTTCCAATTGCATAATTTGCATATAACTGTAGAGGAAAATTATACAAATGAAAATTGCTCAAGTCAAATAAGAAAGTTTAGGGTAATTACATTATTAAAATGACACGTCTAGTTTTGGAAATTACACAGATACCCCCTATCAGATTCTGACTCCATGAAAGTAACATAATGCGTGTTTTCATGTTTATCCTAAAGCTTCCAAACGGTCCTGCACCAAACACCTCTTATACCCCCTCTCTCTCTCTCTCCCTCCGGGGGGCTATCCTAATACCTTAATACCTTATTGAAGTAGCTTAGGGCTGTAGAGAACAAAACTCCTACCCTCCCCCCCCCCCCCCCCCCCCCCCCCCCCCCCCGCCCCCCCACCCCCCCCCCCCCCCCCCCCCCCCCCCCCCCCCCCCCCCCCCCCCCCCCCCCCCCCCCCCCCCCCCCCCCCCCCCCCCCCCCCCCCCCCCCCCCCCCCCCCCCCCCCCCCCCCCCCCCCCCCCCCCCCCCCCCCCCCCCCCCCCCCCCCCCCCCCCCCCCCCCCCCCCCCCCCCCCCCCCCCCCCCCCCCCCCCCCCCCCCCCCCCCCCCCCCCCCCCCCCCCCCCCCCCCCCCCCCCCCCCCCCCCCCCCCCCCCCCCCCCCCCCCCCCCCCCCCCCCCCCCCCCCCCCCCCCCCCCCCCCCCCCCCCCCCCCCCCCCCCCCCCCCCCCCCCCCCCCCCCCCCCCCCCCCCCCCCCCCCCCCCCCCCCCCCCCCCCCCCCCCCCCCCCCCCCCCCCCCCCCCCCCCCCCCCCCCCCCCCCCCCCCCCCCCCCCCCCCCCCCCCCCCCCCCCCCCCCCCCCCCCCCCCCCCCCCCCCCCCCCCCCCCCCCCCCCCCCCCCCCCCCCCCCCCCCCCCCCCCCCCCCCCCCCCCCCCCCCCCCCCCCCCCCCCCCCCCCCCCCCCCCCCCCCCCCCCCCCCCCCCCCCCCCCCCCCCCCCCCCCCCCCCCCCCCCCCCCCCCCCCCCCCCCCCCCCCCCCCCCCCCCCCCCCCCCCCCCCCCCCCCCCCCCCCCCCCCCCCCCCCCCCCCCCCCCCCCCCCCCCCCCCCCCCCCCCCCCCCCCCCCCCCCCCCCCCCCCCCCCCCCCCCCCCCCCCCCCCCCCCCCCCCCCCCCCCCCCCCCCCCCCCCCCCCCCCCCCCCCCCCCCCCCCCCCCCCCCCCCCCCCCCCCCCCCCCCCCCCCCCCCCCCCCCCCCCCCCCCCCCCCCCCCCCCCCCCCCCCCCCCCCCCCCCCCCCCCCCCCCCCCCCCCCCCCCCCCCCCCCCCCCCCCCCCCCCCCCCCCCCCCCCCCCCCCCCCCCCCCCCCCCCCCCCCCCCCCCCCCCCCCCCNNNNGAAAAAAAACCCCCCCCCCCCCCCCCCCCCCCCCCTCTTCTCCTGGAGCAGGTCCCACCTCACCCCTTCCACCCTGCCACCCCTGCATCTGACACCCACACGTCTGCCCTCCCCGCCTCCTGCCACCTCACCTCATCCACCCCTCCTGATTTTTAAATCTTTTCTCTTAGATAATCTAGTGCCCTTATGTATGAAGATAAGAAATTCGGTCGTTGTGGTCGGAATGGATTTCTGACCACATTCTCCATAGGGTCCTCTTATCTCTTCCTTCTCTGAGCTCAGATTATGGAAGAAGGAACCAAGAAGAAGGTATCAGCAACAATCTGATCTCTATCGCTTTTACACATACTTGTGTTTTATATGTAAAATTACCGATGAATTTCATAAATTGGGTTTGAGAGGGTTGAATTGGATTTGAATTGGTCTAAGAGAAAGAAAATGTAATGTCCTAGGCCAGGCTGAACAGGGCTGGCATGAGCCCCTGGACCATGACCAAGGTCACACCAAAGTGCAGTGTAATTTCAAAAACTACTAGGGGTCTCATTGTAATTTAACCCAATTTTTTGCAGACAAGAAAAAGAGAGAGCGGTGGGCTTGCTTGATCTAATTTTGCACCACTCTAGTTAGCCAAACCAACCTGATTGGACACATCAGCATGATCCCTGCGAGTCATCCCCTCACCAATGGCACTCTGCAACAATTAGATGGTGAAGTTAAATGTAAGCCCCCAGGATCATACTTTAGCTTTATGCTAGATTACAAGTAAACAGAATATTGTGTGCAGTAAAATTAAGCAAAGCCTTCAATTTACCTTCATTAAACGAGACAAGGATGGAAGAACGTTAATAGGTGGGTATATCTGTTCAAATAAAAAACAATAATTTTCAGTTTCAGATCCATCAAGGAGGGGAAAAAAGTTCCAGATGTTGATAAGCTACCCACAATCAATTTCTCATTTCTGAGCTTAATACAAGTTACACATTCAATTATAGAGATCAGAAACCCAACTTTGGTAATGCATCCATGAATATATGTTACAAATCTGAAGTTATCTATCTCCAAACTAATATGCACTATGTTATTTACGGACTTATTTAGTCCAAACTTTATCAATCAGCCAAGCACAAGACCTGAATTTTGCCACCAACTCACACCTTAACAAATGATACAAACGTTACATTACTTGCAATGTATAATGTTATGAAGATTACAAAAAGGTGTAGTTCTTATTGCTGATTCCAAGCTATGAAGCAGTGTGTCGACCTTCATTAATTATAGCACAGCATGGCACCTGGTAAGTAACTTTAAAATAAAGTAGCTTCACAACTTACCTGACGATTATAAAGTAGTCTGTCAATATATATCTGTCCCTCAGTAATATAACCCGTAAGATCTGGAGTAGGATGTGTGATGTCTGATCAAATACCACACACGATCAGGTAAATTCCAAATTTCAAATACCAAAGCGAAGAAGGATTAAAATCCAGACACTTAATGCAGTTTCACAATACTACATTACCATCATTCGGCATAGTCAAAATTGGAATTTGTGTAATGGAACCCTTGCGTCCTTCAATTCGCCCAGCACGCTCATATATTGTTGCCAGATCAGTATACATGTACCCAGGATACCCACGCCTTCCAGGCACTTCCTCACGGGCGGCAGATACCTGTGGTACCAAGCAATGCTTTATCTCACAGCAATAGCCCACTGGAGAAAATCTTAACGAATATCTCACTTAATATATTTGAAATCACTGCTAAGAAATAATTCGGGTATAATAGGCTTATAGGAAAGCTCGTATCATTAAGCCAAGTTTTTAAAGACGACAAAACCCTAAGAAGATAATACAGGATATCTGATATAATTTATTAGATTGGCAATGCAACTATTTTATGAAATGGACAGTGCAGAGAACACTTATGCATAATTACCTCACGAAGAGCATCAGCATAGGAACTCATATCTGTTAATATGACAAGAACATGCTTCCCACACTCATATGCCAAATATTCAGCAGTAGTTAGAGCAATCCGAGGAGTAATAATACGTTCTATTGTAGGGTCATTGGCCTGTACAAAAAGCATATAAGAAACGGATTTTATACAACTGAACATAATCAGACATCACTTTGTAGAAGCAAACCCCATAGATTCAGGATTAATTTACCAAGTTTAGAAAAAGGGTCACCCTCTCCATTGATCCATTTTCCTCAAAATCACGTTTGAAAAACTGTGCTGTCTCCATGTTGACTCCCATAGCTGCAAACACAATGGCAAAATTGTCCTCTTCTCCATCCTGTGAAGAAAAAGTAGATAATGAGAATAAGCTAGCTGCAGTCAATCATCAACAGGGAAGCAAGGAAATTAAAGAAATTAGAGGGCCAAATGACCACCTAACTAGAAGCAGAAGCGGAACAAACAGGAGCAAGGAGCAAGTAGAGGAGGAGAAAATGAAGACGAAGAAGAAGAATACTGGAAAGCAAGGAAATTAAAGAAATTAGAAGGCCAAATGACCACCTAACTAGAGAAGAAGATTATTTACCCAAAAAACAATAGCAGAAGAAGAAGACAGGAGGAGAGGAAAATGAAGAAGAAGAAAATGAAGGCCATCTCAACCAATCTAGAATTATTTGTTACACAACGGCAATAAATGATGCATGAAGCAGAGATCTAATGATAGGACAGAACCTCATCAAAATAAGCATTGAGCAATGGTTTTCCAGCTCTCAGCTATTCGTCGTGTCAAGAATAGTCATATCCCAAAAGTACCTGAAGGAGATTTCCCGTATTCTCCAACCGCTTTACCAAACCAGCCTGACGGCATATCTGGGCAGCTATTTCATTATGGGTAAGACCGGCGGCAGAAAAAAGAGGAATTTTCTGCCCTCTAGCAATTGAATTCATAACATCAATTGTTGAAATTCCGGTCTGTATCATCTCTTCAGGATAGGTTCTCTCACTAGGATTGATAGAACTCCCTACAGTAGAGAAGTGAACAGTTGAATGATGTTTGAGCAGATCACACAGATTTGTATGATTTTGCAATATTTAAAACCCATTGGCTTCTTACAAACACTCACCAGAAATATCCAAGTAAGCCTCAGGCAAAATAGGTGGGCCATTGTCAATGGGCTTCCCAGAACCATTGAATATGCGACCAAGCATATCCAACGACACAGGAGTTTTCAAAACCTGTAAACAAGTTGTAATTGAAATACTTAGAAGGGTAATCTGATGAAAAGTGCCATTGAAAGAAAAGAAGAATCTGTGAATTGCAATAAGAGAGCAGAGACTGATTCTTAAGAGCAAGTACAGGCTTGACTTCCAGTGAAAAGCCATGAGCAAAATAAGCCTTTACTCCTCACAACAAATTTGTAAATCACGCATATCACATATAACTGGCATGGAAGTCCACTAGTTAAATATACACTTGGTCACAATCATGATTATTCAATTGACATGTGGTACAAGAAAGTTGCAGGTTTCTGCTGGTATATGCAGAAGCAGGGTCTATAGATTCCTCGCATAGGCAATTGAAACAAGATATTGCACTGTCATCAGTGAAATGCGTTTATCAACATCACACCTTTCAAAAGAAACTAATACTGAAGAACCCAATCACAGCTTGTAAGCCTTATTGTTGGAGTCAAATTTTCCATGTGCCAGACCAAATTCATCTTCTTTCTATTCATTCCTCAACAAGTGACGTAATTAATTGTGGAATGTCATGTGTTTTAGCAGTAGTATATTACTCAAAAAGAAAACAGATCTTCTAGATTTTTCACATCTAAGAATATAATAGCAAATGTTTGAAGTTTGCATATATGGTCAAACTCAATCAGACAAATTGTTTATGAATATACACAGGAACAATCTCCCAAAGATTGAACTGAAGCAATAAGTGAGGCAGTTAGCAAGGTCTCCAAGGGAAAAATTACTGCCTTTTCCAGGACCAAGCTTTTCAAAAGGAAATGAGAGCAAATCCAGATATAATCATTAGTGTATACTTCATCAACAAAAGAAACAAAATTAAAAAAAGTAAAAATGATGATGAGGGACTATTCCATACCTCCCCTGTAAACTGCACTGTTGTGAATTTGTTGTCAATCCCAGATGTTCCTTCAAAAACCTGGTCAAAGAACACCAAATGAGCGTAAATGAAAGTCAATAAATGAATTCACATGAACTTCCTAGGCATAATCCATAATAAGGCCTGGACATTTTTCCAAAACAAACAATGATTCTCTGTATACTGTGCCAGTCAGTCGCTAGCCATAATATTAATTGTCAGAACATATAGTGAAATATTGGTTACCGGAGTGGGTACCAATGTATCAAAATCATGATATGGCCGGTCAAAACATATCAGTTAAAAATTCATTGATAACAGAAAATAACTGGGAACATATCAGAAGTACTGGACAGAGAGAAATAACAATATAATGATATCAGAGTAAAAAATTGCAGTATATCTGTCAGAATGATTGAATAATGGCCTAGACAATACCACAAAAAAATAAATAAATAAATGAGCACAATCTTGAAACGATTGTGAATTCTCACTCTCGCCAAAAGTCCAAACTGACCAATAAACAAGGGATTAAAACCATGATGGAAGCCATAAAGCTTAAACTTTGATGAAGCATCAGGAGAAAAAAGAAGACTTCCTCGGAGCATAAAGGAGAATCAAAACAAAAAAATTATTGCAGAGCCCATGCTATGGGAAATACAACTAGTTGAACTATTATTATTAAATCTACCTCCATCATCAAAAATAGCCTGCCCAGGTAATGAAGGGAACCACAGAAACATTTAACCCTTCTTGTGAAAAAATAAATAAATCAGAGGGACACCTGGCTTTGCACTTTAGCTTTTAAGAACTCTAGAAACCTAAAGGCAGGTGATAAGAAATCTAAGAGGAATTATGAAACATTGCTGCACACATCAGCAATTGAGAAGATAAATTCACTACAAAGGAACATAATGGAATATGTGGACGAACAGGGAAAGCGGCAGAGAAAGTGATCCTCAATGATGTATGGGCCACAATCAAATGTGAAAGTTTAGAGTAATGAACCTGCACAAGAATATACAAACCAGAATAGGAGAATGCCAAAGAAACCCACCTGAACAACAGCTTTCTCCCCATCAACTTCCAGAACTTGCCCACGCCGAGTTGTTCCATCTCCTAAACGAATGTTAACAATCTCCTGATACTTGGGTCCCTGCAATGAATAGAAAATACATGAATAACTGTTATTTTTTTGATGGGAGACATGAGAATTTTATTAATAACAAATCTAAAACAATTGCATGAGAAGACAAGAAGTCCTCAAAATGAAAAAAGAAGAGAAAAAAAGAAATAGAAACAAATAAGACATGGCAAAACACCCAAGCCTCGGCACACAATTGAGCCCAATGATCCATAATCCAACAGAATGGTAATCTTTACAAGTCTGTAAATGTGGAAGCCTAAAGAAAAGCCATGAAATGATTTTTCCCCATCAATCTTTCCAAGAAGGCTCTTTATTCTCAAATTTTCTGCCATTTATTTCCAACCACACCACTCAAAAAAGCAATACTAAAACCATGCAACTCCATAAAATCTTAGATTTGTTACTTGAGCAAAAGCCATCAAATGAATCTCAAAGATTGAAACACAATCTTTATGACACACCCAAGGGACTCCAAGCATACCCAAAAGTCTATTCCACGTATTATAGACAAGGGAACAATGCAAAATAGGTGACCATAATGCCCCCAAGTACATGTATAAGCATAAATATATGTGTGTGTGAGTGTGCAGGCCAATAATATTAAAAATATGGCGTTTAACATAAAAATATAGATATAAGTTGAGTAAAAGCATAAACAAAAGATGATGACGGATGAAGAGCATAGCATCAACCTTAACTTTCTCAAGAATAACCAGTGGTCCAGCAACGCCAGAAACAGTTCTATATTCTGCAAAGTAAAAATCAGATCAATATCATGCAGAACTGCTCCCATGGCTGGAAAAAATTTTAGAGAAGCCCCAATCTCTGATTATATGACTAAAATTCTCAATGAAGTGTAAGTATCTGCAACTGAGATGCGAATCTTTGTACGATGTAATCACACTGATCGTTCATCCTAACTGTCATGCTCCTGCTAGAGGAGGTAACTGGAGGTAAACTTGGAAGTGGCCATGGGCAAGTTGTCTGAGGAGGTAAACTTAGGAATGACTAGCGGCAAGGAACTGCTTGACAAACTGGAAAGTGCAACCTTTAAACCAGTGACACCTTGTCTCATTGACAGACAACTGAAGTCCAGTTAGTTACTCACCACAATGCTTCAATATTGTCTACATACTAGAGAATGTCATGAGATGCAAGCCATTTGGCGTTTGGGACTCAAAGAATAGAATTCACATAAAGATAAGAAAAATATTTGCTCTCTTTTTCTCAATTCAAAATTCTCATTCATAAAGATATAGAAAAAAAGTAGAAAGACCAGACCAAGAAATATCGTCAGAAAGATTTTGAGATTTGATCCAAAGAGCAGTACACCAATTCACACACATGTTTGAGTGTATCATGAAGACCAAAAGCACATAAAAAAATAAAATGTTTCTGGCGGGACTCTAGGTGGCTCTACAGCCCCCTGGTTGACACGTGGAGTAATGAAACCGTTGGGACGTCCAAAGGACGCCTAGATATGGTGACCCAGAGCAGCCGAGTATGACTACTGGCATCGTATTTAATACGACGTGACCCCTCATTTTATGGCAGAATGAGTGATGGTGACAAGACAAATAAATGCGCGTCTGCAAGTACCTGCACTCGGAGAGTCTAAGCCTACTATCATGATGGCTAAGCATTAATGACTGACGCGCCGAGACAACGCGAATTGCCCCCCCGAGGAACTGTTCCCTCGAATATTTAATACTCAATTGATGTTAGATGCCGATCGGAGGGGTTTGGGTACTCGGGAAAGGGCATAAATGCTCGGCATTTAGCCGAGCGCTCATCCCATCGTTCTAGCATTTAATAGGAGAAAACGTGAGTAGAAAACACTCATTGCGCGAGGAATGGTATGTCAGATGTTACATGTCCAGATGGGACTAGAGACCTTTGGCAATCGTTGTTAATTCAGGTATAAATACTCCTCAGAAAAATAGACAAAGGTACGCAAACTTGAACCAGAAAAAATTTATTCATAGAGCTAAACCCTTCGACCTTAGACTGACTTAAGCTTCGGAGGGGATAAGTCGGGTGTTCATCTGGCCCCCCCTTTTTCTGACCCTGTTGTTTCAGGTTCGCCAGCTTGGAGATCGATGTCTCAAACTATTGCAGGAATTATCCCGTGCAGCTTCGTTTAGTGGAAATATGGACCAAGAGAAATATTGTTCCCCACCACCGGATGACATCAAACCAAAGTTGTTAAATAGCAGATATTATTTTTCTTTAAGAAAGGACACAGTTAATAAAATTAAAAGTCACCTCAATTTTTGCTATTTTATCCCAACGTCCAAATTTTTGTTTATTCAGACTTTCAAAACGACAAAAATACTCCCACATCCCTACTTATTGGCATTCCATTCTTATTCAATATTCAGCATAAGTGTATAATTCTACATAATCTCATTTGTAGTTTCTCTTTCACAAATTCCAAATTATGAATACAAAGCACTATAAGTCTATAATGCATGGCAACATATTACTCTAATTTTAGACCTTGTGATTGCAATGTGCAGCCGCATTACAAATCAAAATCATCCACTTATCCTCCGATCCTAATTTACTTGGCAACATCCTCCTTCATTTTTGCTGGTAAGAAGTACAAACTACCTACTTGATTTGTCGTTCAAAGTGAAATTGCATGTATAGTCAGATTTCATTGCCACTTTTGAAATAATTCACTTGATTTTGGATGCAAAAAATCAGATCAAGCTTGCTTTCAAGAGCTGCAAAATAGTTCTACTGCTATGAGCATGTTGCCTCCCAAACTGAATTTAGCACATTTCTTTGTCGATACTCACACACAAACACATCTAAATAGAGTGTGCACACACACACACATATATATATATATATAACAACTCACCCATGCCAATCTCCAGTGTTCCCTCTTCCATGTCGATATTGTTTTGGGCCACACCCATATTCTACCTGAAAATTTCCAATAGAAAACAACGACGTCAATTAAATGGCACTTAGAACACTTGTCTAGACTCTCGGAACACCCCCAACATATCACAGACGATGTGTAACACATGTATGTATCCACAAACATAGCTTTGCTTAATCTTAGAGGAATATTGCAATCAGCATCACTTCAAAAGTTCATTTGGCTTGAGTTTCGTTTTCTATGAAAAAAGAATCACTTAACTTACCCTACTTCGTTCACATACGTATACATACCGAAGTGTGTGCGTGTGTGTATGAATATAAACATCATATCAATATACACTCCATTAGATCACATGTTCAGATGGAGACAACTAGGGCAAAGTGATCTTTGGAAGAAAGACGATAATGGATATGGTGTGATGAGTTGTTTCCATTAATTCAGAAGCCAAAAATACATATAGCGTACATACAGACATCAATCGAACCAAATCGAATTGAAAGGGAGGTAATGAAAATTCGAGTATGGATCTGAAGAAAACTCGACCTTTTCTGCGATCCAATAATGCACACACACACACAGATAGGGAGAGGGAGGGAGAGAGAGAGAGAGAGAGGGGCCAAAAAGAAAATAAATCAGAAAGATCTGATGATGGAGATAAATATAATTAAAAAATATAAAAACAATTTTGTAATACATACGGAAATTTAATTCAACAGTGATTTATTGGGATAATTACAATGACACCCCAATAGTTTGCATCGATTGCAAGATATACATATATAGTTTTTGAAATACACAACACAACCCAAATTAATGTGTGTTGTAACCAATGTAACGTTTTCTAAGAAGCATGTCTTCTTCCAAATTTGCCTTCGTACATAAATTAACGAACAAGTTGGATTACAATCAAACAATCTAAACTTGAGTTAAGACAAAAAGTCATCCGCATCTTAGGCAACCTTAACTTTATAACAAAGCATCTCAAATGTTTATTTTCTCTCATTTACACAACAACCTCTCGCTTTTATTTTAACTCAATCATCTAGCAAACAAACATGTACAAACATAAACACAAATTTTTTTATCTGTGGATAAACCACAAAATAATTGAAAACCAAAGGTATAGTAGCTATACTTGCCCCAAATCAATATTAATAGCAATAGCACAGGTGTATTTGAGAATGATTTTCAAAATTATTGGTGTCAACTTTGCTTCTTTCGGGGCTATCTCACATCAGATAGTCTTAGGATGTGTGTTGGGGGTTATATGGACACTATGTCACTTCTGTTTTTAAATAGATGTGTTGTACCTATCCTGATAAAAGAAAACAGGTGTGCACTTTCCAGGATGGTTCCATGTGAGTTCAGTTACATTCCACTAAGGTTCGACATGGTTTAGATAAGCCTTTGGGGCATCGTGGTGATGGGCTGAGGCTATCCAACATCAGATAGCTTTAGGATATGTGTGTGGGTTATATGGATACTATGTCACTTCTGTTTTTAAGTAGAAGTGTTGTAGTTATTTTCTGATTAAAAAAAAAAAACTTTTGCTCAATTGCTAGAAAAGCAAAATGAGATGAGCTATTATAACGGTAATTTATTATGAAATTGAGAGCCTTTTAGAATTTGAATTGTCGTATCTAAATAACTTATATTTATAAACTAAATTCTTATTAGAGATTACTCTTTTTCGTTGCATATAGTAAAATCAACAATTAAAAATAAAATGAGGCTTTTAAACTTCTCTCGTATGTTGTAACCTTTTGGGTTATACTCCCAAATGAGACTTAATAAGCTAAACCTTATCCAAGGTATATTGTTCACTCGTATCATTCTACATGTAGGAGTAACATTTGTCAACTTCATATTTAAAGGACAAAATTGTTATTTAAGGAGGTATATTCACTGACATCATCAATTTTTTTGACATGTCAATAACGTCTACGACGGTAAGAATGGTAAATGAAATAAACATATATAAACTATAGAGAGTGAGTGGTATTCAAAAACCATAGTCTTTGTAATTATGCCATTTTCTAGAGGGTGTCCGTAAAATTTGCCCAAACATAATCTTTCAGAGAAAAAATAAAAAAAAAAGTTCAAAACATTTTAAAGGGCCAAGTTCCATTTGGCCCACAATAAAAAAGCTTACGATACACATTCTACTGTTCAAATCCCCACCGTAAGAACTCTTCCAAAACAGTCCACGTCATCTACTCTTCTACAATATTTAACCGTTGCTTTGCTTATTCTTCCACACACAAGCCATCTCTGACAAAGATACCAAGGTAAAGAAATGGCCACAACTCTCTCGGTACGGCCCAACCGCGCCATCATCGGCCTTGACTCGGCCGGTTCGGTCCGGCCCAGACCTCGTTCTCGCCGGTCGTACACAACCCATGTCGCAAAGATGTTAAAGAAAGACCGTTCCTGGTGGGGGGTTGCGTTCAATCCCTCCCGGCGCAAGTTATCTACGGTCCTTTTAGCCGGCTCCAAAGCAGACGACTCCGCTCAGTTCGATATGTCCGTAGAGAACGCTTTGAAGCTGTTGGGTGTCTCAGAGGGAGCTTCTTTTGATGATATACTCGGAGCTAAGAATTCAATTCTTGCTTCTTGTAAAGACGACCAAGAGGCGATTGCACAGGTTCTCATACTGTGCACTCTCTTTTTGGATCATTGATATCTTCTTTGAATTTGATTCCTTTCTTATTACTTGGATTTACAGTTACTTGTAGTGTTTGGTTTGGTATTTTCCAGAGGATTGTCGATACTGTGATTTTTTTGGGTTTTGCTTGGGCAATGGATTGTTAATTTAACTTTCTGTGACACCCAGATATAAATTTTGAAATTTTTGGTGGTTTTCTGTGATAGATTTGGGCAGTGTTATGTGGGTTTTGCTGAATTGTGAAGTTCAACCTTCACAGTCTCAAAATCTGTGGTACCAAATGTGGAAAAAACTTCAATATGATCCTATGATTTTGAGATGTGTAAAAAGTTGGGGTATTGGTTTGTTGGTGGATGTGTACTTTTTGTTTAACAGAATAAACAGTATTATTAAGTGTGTCAGAGTCAAGAGTTGTTAAAGGTGCTCAAAGTAACTCCATTCTGCGCTACAAATGAAGATTCCCTCGAAACATTCAAACTTGGAAAACCCCCTGCCCTTCCTTGGTGGGTTGGGGGGGAGGTATGCTTGTTAACCCACTTGTCATTTCATGTTTACCATTCTATAGATAGTGGTTGGTGGTCATTGGGGATCGTTCTGTTATAGAAGTGCTGTAATAGTCATGCTCAATAGTAAACAAAAACCTTGGGCCATTTTCATTGGTTGAGTCCTATTTATTTTCTTTGTTTCTTTTAATTCAAATCTTGGCATTCTATGATGGGATGCACCTTTTCAATTCCCTTGCCTAAAGGGGATTTTGTTAGTGACACCTTTTTGAGTAGCTGATATACCTTCAGTTGATGTTTGCTTTATGAAAATTTGTCATTGTGAGCTTTAAATTTAGCCATTCATTTGCTTCAATAAAATTGCACATATTTGTGAACTGCATTCCATTGTGATGTTAAGCCAATTCTTTTTTAGGAACACATTTATCTATACTTAAGGAGCAAGCGAGTATCTTGAGGCACTTTCTGGCATACCTTTATTTGGCATATTCATGAACATGTTTTGATGCTGATTTCTCATGAATGAATGCAAAATGAATGATTGATTGGCAAGTTGTTGCATCACAGTACGAGTTATCCTTAAGACAGTTCATGTCTGTCAAATAACCTCATGGTCTACTGTTAGCAGGTGCAGTTTCTTCATTGGACATGAACTCGTATTGTTTGTTTAGAGTGCGAGGACTTTCTTTATGAAGGGACGGTCATTAACTTGAACGCAAGAAGCAAAATCGGGCCATTCCTCAAATATATCTCATCCTATAAATATATCTTTATATTTACGTTGTTGAGTGAAACAATTTCACCAATGTACAGTGGACACACTAGTGTGACAATTGTAGAGTAAATAAAATATCATCTTAGAGCTGCAATATTATTCCGTTATATAGGATGAGAAGTTTCTGTAAATAAAATTTTCTTCCTGGAATCTAATTGCAGTAAATATATAACAAACTGATATGACTGACGAGATTTGTGAATATTGGTCACGTATATGGCATACGTTTTGGGTCTAAAAGGGCCTTGAGGCACGTGCTTAACAAACACCTCACATGTTATGTCGGGCAAGTTGAGGGAGCTTGTTGATGAATGGCTATCTAGTCTCTAGATGCTAGACTTTGAAGTAAAGGGTGATGTGGAAATGGAATTTGCTCATGGTACTTTGGGTTTTATGGGAAGAAAGAAAAGGCATAAAAGAACAAAAATGTTCTTGGACACAAGGAGAGATCAGTAAAAGATGTGGTGAATGGCAACAATAACATGATCTCCTTTGTCGACATTTTATCAGATTTCTCTGAAATTTTATATAACAGATATCTGCACAAATATAGTTTTTGTGTATCCATTGATGCATCTATCGTATATATCATAAAATATTTCCTATTTTTCCTTCTAATTCTTTATGCTGCGGTGACATCGTGCTGGTGAATACATCACTAGCATACCAAACTTTGAAATGAAAGAGACTTTCTCCTGTCTGGTTGATGTCAGACATACTCTTTTTGATGTTACAAGAAGGACAAAGGCAATCTNATGAATACATCACTAGCATACCAAACTTTGAAATGAAAGAGACTTTCTCCCGTCTGGTTGATGTCAGACATACTCTTTTTGATGTTACAAGAAGGACAAAGGCAATCTCCATTGGATACAATATGAGAAATGAGCCTTTCAGTCACATTAGAGCAATTTCATGAGCAACTTTTGTTTTGGACTTGGCATTTTGGGTTAAAGAGCTCAAGCAGTGTTCAACTCCTGCAGATCAACCATCAACCATCCTTGACTCTATATAACTTTTAGACAATCTCTAGGTCCAGCAATCACAAATATGGATGATGTATTTTATGTGCTTACTGCCACTTCATCAAGTAATATGGTCCAATGTTTGCCAGGTAGAGGCTGCATATGATATGTTGCTCCTGAAGAGCTTGTCACAGCGGAAAGCAGGAAAGGTTCTAAGTAGTAGCATTCGTTATGCTGATGTTAAACCTGTGAAAGCTCCTGGGATGGGATCAATGCCTCAGTGGTTGCAGGCTACAGTCAAGAGTCCACCCATTTCAGTTGAAGCACCATCTACTGGAGACTTAGGTGTACAAGCAGGAGTATATGGAGCTTTAATGGTCTTAACATATGTCAATGGAGCCTCTACATCTTCTGCAGGGCCGTATGCTGGTGCTGATGTTCCTGGGCTGATCTTGGCCACTAGTTTTGGGGCGTCCTTATACTTCATGAGCAAGAAGAATGTTAAGTTAGGTAAGGAGGTTCAAGATGGCTTTTTATTTTTGTATGGATTTATTAGTATCTGATGGAGTATTTCTCATAAGTTTTCTGGCAGTTCATTGTAAGACCACCCCCCCCCCCCCAAACAAAAAAAAAAAAACCACACACACACACACACCTTGGATTGCTATGCACTTTGCTTAGAATAAATATTTGACCATAAGTAGCAATTATTCTTACAGGTAAGGCAACCTTAATAACACTAGGAGGGCTTGTGGTTGGTGCAGTGATGGGGTCAGTAGTTGAAAATTGGTTGCAAGTCGATATTGTCCCATTTCTCGGTATACACTACCCTGCTACTGTTGTGAGCGAGTTTATACTTTTCTCTCAACTTTTAGTCTCTCTTTATGTAAGATAGGACTAGGAAAAACTCTAATTTTTGTTGAACTTGTATGATTCAAAGTTATTCTTTTTGAATTACCACGTATGTGCATCTTTAGAACCTATACTTGCACAAGCACAAATATAATGTTGTACAGCTTAATTTGGTTGAGATTTTGCTCTTGAACATTTATGGAGATCAGCTAGTTTCATTTTGGACCTTCTTCTTCTTCTTTTTGTTGTTGGCAAATGATTGAATCCAAAGTAGCACCCCATATATTTCCTGATTAGCCATAGGTGCTTTTGAAGTTCTAATAGGGGTCTGGCTTATTTTTCCATTCTTGGGAATACTGACCTGATCTGATGAGTCGTGAATAAGTTAAGGCTTATCCGGGACATGGTGCATTGGCTCAGTTTATTGTCAGGAGAAGGGTTGGGGAGTCTGTTGCCCAAATTTCATGATTATAGGAGGTATTTTCTTTGTCTTTTTTTAGAGGGGTGGGGGGGGAAGAAAAGTGGCTGGCCCTGGGCAGTTGGGATTAGGCATTATTCCAACAGAAAGTTTAGTTGTTTAGTTTTTGTTGATGAAGATGGAGCATGAAAAAGCCTTCTATCTTCATGCTGTAAACAGACCGACTGAAACAGGGCCTGTCTTCAAGAAAGTATATCTCAGGGGATTTTATCTAAATAATGTAGAGACGTTCTCTATGACTCGTTGGAGGGAAGAACATCTATGATGTGTTGCTTATGCATTACTTCCTCTGAGTTGGTAAATTTCCTGTATCAATTTAAAAATAATTCACAAGGACCAGACTACAGAATTTCAACCAGCCACCGTCTTTAAAATTATCTGGAAGGATAAAGAAGATAACATAAACCATCTAGAAGGGAAGGAAATAGAACTTAAAAATAACTGAATTTTATAAAGTTATAAGCTAGCTATAAAAAAGGAGCTCACCAAAATCTGAACTGATATTGCAGAAGGTAAGGTGAGCAAGCTGGTTTCAAGAGACGTGAGGAGAAGTTCACGAACAACACCACCAGATTATAGGGCAACATGTTTCACAATGTGCCGTCTGTCAACATGCAATGCAAAAATCAGAACTATACAGTCAATCAAAGACAGTGAAACTACGGTCATCACTAGATTGAATTTGAAATTGGCATTGCTCCTAAGTGAATCCCAATCTTGAAGGTAGGAAAAGTGGTAGGATCAGCTCTCAATTGCTGAAATGAAATAGAGTGCGCACTTCGTTTTAAAATTTTTGATAGTCACAATGGAGGGAGGTAGTAAGTCAGTTAAACTGTTGTGCAAAAATGACACATTTACGGTACAAATTTCAATCCGATTATTAAGGTGTTATCATCAAATTTTCTTATACAGGATATAAGAAGGTGTGATTTTTGATTTTTTTTTTTTTTTTTTGCTATTGAGATGGGATAGTAATTAAACTACTTGGTGTGAAGGTGCTTTAATCTTATCATCTCTTTTTTTTTTTTTTTTTTTTAATGTTTGAAGAAATCTCTCCTTGAGTCGAGTCTCATAACAATGCTATGAAAACCTAATTTAATGTGGTTTTTGATTTAATTGTGTTTCAATGTTAGATAGAGTCCACTTCCGATTCAATAGTTGCATTAAATTAAGTGTTCAAAAAGTAGAAGATGACAGTGAGGAAATCCAATTATAGACATTAATAAAAACATGTCCCAGCGAGCTGCTTAGACACAATCTAATGTACAATCACTGCAGACACCTTAAACCCTTAAGCCTAGAACATCCCTAGTAGTTTTTCGATCATCTGTTGCCATCTTCAACTTGGGAGTCTTCAATATACGCTGGCTTCCCAACTTTCTCAGAATTCTCTTGGTAGTTCAAGAGATCATTATACATTTTCAAAGAAGCTTTAGAGAAATCTGTCAACGACTCAAAAACTCTACCAAACCCTGTCTGAAATCCATTCAATGTTATCCTCTGTGTTTCTTGCATGCCACTGTGGTGTTTCTCTTTCTCCATATCTACCTTCCTCCTGAAGTTGTCCAGCAAATCCTTTCTCTCTCTCAAGTTCTCAGCCCGATGCTCAATATCTTGCTCTGAATCATGGTCTGCTAGCTTGGATTCAAAAATCCTCTTCTCTGCCTTCTGGAATGCCAGAATCTTTCTCTCGTATTCCTTCGACAGACTATCGACTTTGCTCTTCTGTTGTTGTTCCTCTCCTTGCTGAACCCACATAGCCCTTACATCCTTTCCAAAGCTTTTTACGGCAAAAGCAACAGCCTTGTCTGGTAACTTTTCCATGGAAGCTATCCAATCTTGGCAAATCATGAGCAACGGGGGACCATTTGAATGACATGGTGAGGGTGAACTCCAGCTCTTGGAGTAAAGTTCAACTTCAGGGACAACAAACTTGGATAGCCATCCATGAAGCGCGTTGATGTACGCCTTTTGTGCAATAATGTACTCCATGAAGCATGCACGCCAATTCTGAAGCTCAGCCTCAAGCTGAAGTGTTGCAAGTCGGTGAGTGTTATTGCACAGCTTTCCAAATGTGGGGCAGGTGAAAGTTTTTACTTCAAACATGATCTTATTCTGGATTTCATGGGACTCCAGCATAATCTTCCATGTTCTCATCAGACTGCACAATACAGAAGGCGGGGAAAACAAAGTTAGGGAAATCAGTTAATAGCACGTAAATATTTCAAGGTCTGTCAGGGTTTTATATCCTTACCCTTGTAGCAGTTCAATGATTTGGGGCTGCAGTTCTTCATCTCTCAGTTTCTCAATTGTTTTGGAGATTGATTCAGCGCTCCGAATCGCCACCAAGATCCTGCTATACAGATCTTTTACTGCAGCCCTGGTTTTGTCCACAGTGAGTCCATCATCTCCCTTGGCATCTAGATTTCTCAGTTGGTTGCATTTCCTCTCATAAATTTTCCGTGTGCTATCTCCAGCCTAATTCTCATAGAAGTCTAACAAGTCAAGACCTGAAAGCAAATAAGTAGAAAGGATACAAAAAGAGGAAAGGGAACTTTCTTCACTTTGTTGATTCTTAGCTTATATATACACATGGTACACAAGTTGGGTTAGCAACCTAATTACTAAATGGTGGTACCAGTTCCAAACTTTTCTCACCACGTACAGTATCTTGACTCAAAAATTGTGGATGACAATGTGGATTTTATATTTGCCATTGGTCATTACAGTAGCTTTACAATACAGTTCTAATTGGTATAGAGATCCACCTTCATAATCTCCACTATTATGACTTCACTTCTTCAAACTGACCAATTCTGGAGGAAAAAAGACAGTTTCTACTAATGCAGTGTGCGCTGCGCTGCATTAGTAGCTAAAACTACATATAATACAATTCAGGTTTCTCAAACATATTGACATATTCTCAGTTGATGAGTTCTTCCGTACTCGTACAATATACATCCAAATATTTTCCAAGCAAAAGAACTAGCAGCATTTGAGTGGCAGAAACAGAGTTCTTTCTGAAAAAAAACAGAAGATAGCTAGCATATTAAGTATTAGGGAAGGTGGCCAGTGTTGCAATGATCTGAAGGATTTGCACAATAGAATAGTGATCAAGAACTTAGCTAAAAAGTCAGATTTAGTAGCTTGGCTGTAGCCTGTAGTATTGTACTGGTATATGTTCAATTTTGTTGAAGTTATACCACTCTTATCAAAATAGATGCCTATATTGAGTAAAAATGCTATCAATGAGAATCCACAGGCCGATTTCATCTGGGTTGGCTATATGAATGCTGCAGTAGGACTCCAGCTTGCCGAAAGGCATTATTCTCACCTATTTTTTCTCGGACAGTCCACCAATTCTATGATTTATCTTCACAAAGTTCCCACTCGAGAAATGGTAATGTCATTTCCTACTTCGAATAATTTCATTGCTACCTCCCAATCCTTTAAAATCTCACAAAATAGCTAGAAATGCCGTCACATTACTTAAGAATGTAGGTATGTTATACCATTACTAATTTCTTTTTACATTTTCTTGATCATCAGTGATATGATATTAATTTCACCAGTCTAGTTTGAACAAGTAGAATGACAGAGCAAGGAGTAGGAAGGCAGCCACAACGACAGATCTAAGGGATCTAGATCATCTATAATACACTTTTCATAAATTTTCCAATAGATCACCCATCGTGTATCCAGCAGAACCAACAATATATAAGTGGGTCTTCCAACAATACACGGTGGATGCAACACCATTGACAGAACTTGAGAGGACGAAAATCGAAGGGGGTCCAAAATTGAAATCTAATGCAGTTGTAGAAAACCAAAGTTAATGAGCAGTGGTGTTTCCTCATGCCTCAAGCCCTAGCCAATGTGCCAGAGTTCATTATAGCAACCCGCAGCAACATATAGGACAGAAATATAGCCTTATAGGAATAAAGCTGTGCTTTTGCTGCATTGTTTATTTCGACAGATCCCAAACTGTTACTAGATAAGCCAATAGGTCATTAAAATGGTGGGTAGAGCAGTTCCAAGTGATAATACTTTTACCTTAACCTCTTCATAAAGCTTCTTTTCCCAAGCATACAGCCGTCCTAGCGTCAGTGAATGGCTTCCCGAATCCATTCCTCCATAATCATCAAAGAGATCATTCTTAAACTCTGTCCATGTTGAAGAGCTTTTGGAGCTTGATGCTACTAGACTCTTACAGGATGAGGATCGAGATGATGTGGACCTCCATGTAATTGCTTGGATGAGTTTTGTGGAGTTTTCTGCATCCATATGAGACGGGTGAAGGGACTTGTGGTGTAAGAAGGCAGGCACAAAGACAAGTTGGAGAATAAGTTTGAGTCATAAATTGAAGCTCATATATTACAAAAACAGCAAAACAGAAAAAGAATATGGAGGACCTCCTAGATATATTTCAAAGTATAATGAAGGCAGAACAAGTTAATCTCAGATCCAACTATGAAAAGGCATAGGATTTAGCCTCAAATTAAAGATTTCAGATTTTTAAGCAAAAGATGGATGATGATAAATAAATATAACCACACTGAACCTCATGATAAGAACTAAGAAAAGGCATAAAATCATGATACAGGCACAGTAACAGTTACTAAAACCTCCGCGAAAATCAATTAAAAAGAGTGGGAATAAAACTAAGACAAATAAACCTGCATGCAAGTTGAAACGCAAGCTATTGTCATCATCTCTGGTAATTCACATGATTTATTTATTCTGGTGCTCGGTGCAACTCATTCTTTGGAGAAACTGCTTACATTTCACAGGTAACTTATGGAATTGAACGCAAACAGAAACAAATTATAATGCGAAAGGCCAAATGAATTTCTTAATTAGTTTTAGAGAACAAAGATGAGAAAGGAAATTTTTGGATGCTTTGTCTGCAATGTTACATATAGACCAACAAACTTAAACTGGAAGATGTTACACGGAGCTTGCAGAAAAATTGAACTCTCTCTTCAATCAACGGAGACCAAATAAGCCTCACCATAAAAAATTCATTTAGAAGATGAAGAGGAACATAAGAGCAAACAGGAAGAAAATTCTACAGATTAACAAAAAGAATGAGGCTTGAATAAGACAACAATGGTGGCTTCCTCCACATAATTGCTCAGAAACCGCCAAATACAAAAGACAGCAGAAGCAGATTCAACAGAAATCAACCAAAAGACTTCATTTTCCTGAACTAAAATGAACAATAAGGCCCACAATGTCAAAGTTATATAAAGAATATGGCAAATGAAGTCAGAAGAATAAATTTTACTCCCCTCTCATAAACTTATGGTAGTGGCTCACAACCTAAAGCTGAACATAAAGAACTTTTCAATAGGCATCCAGAGTACAAGATGCAACTAAAAGGCACCGAGATTCGAAAGAGCACAACTACAATGAATAGACCAACCAGAAAAATTTAATACCACCTCAATATGTGTTTCATGTGGAGATTGCATACATAAAAATTGTGTCATCCTACACTTATGATTACAGAGTAACTTTCTCCTGTGGTAAATTTAAAAGAACTTTTCATGCAGGGATAAATTTCTATTATGCAAGACCCAACAAACAAAATGGGTCATCTACCTAACCCACCCCCCCCCCCCAAAAAAAAAAAAAAAAAAAAAAAAA